AAATCAGATCCAAATGAAATCAAATCGGGTCTGTTCACACAACCCATATCCAAAGCTCGGCGTTGTCTTAGATCAAGGGAAAAGAGGATGATGGTTGCTCGCGTGCGAAGAACGATAGCAACATTCGGTGACTGGGGACGGTGACTGTTCGAATGCGTTGACTGGCGGGGGCTGGACGACGACGAGGGCCGGCAGACGCGGGCGTACGGCGAAAATGGGGCTGATGGCTCGCGGTTTGTCAGGAGGCGCTCGGAGAAAGTGGGATCTGGCGGTCGGTCGGGCTTTAAGGGAGGGCGACGACGAGGGTTTCCAGGGACAGTGGCGGTTAGGGCTTCAGGCGGCGGAGGAGGCATACATGGGCTTCGGAGGCTTGAGGAGACACAGGGATGGTGGGTTGGGACTGATTGAGTTTGAGAAGAGGTTGGGGAAAGAAGATCCGGCGATGGTGGCGGCGATTGTGGATGAAAGGAGGTTGGGCGCGACTGGGGAGGCTGATGTTTACGTGAGGAAGAGAAGGAGTTTGGCGGATGGAGAAGAAACGAAAATTGCTAGGGTTTCATACCTCAATTAAGCAAATAAATTTTCACTTCATTCTTCATTTTTTTATTCTGATTACATCAGTGCTTTAAATAGAAGAGAAATTACAAATTTTCAACATCTCACAAAATCAAATCTCTCACAAAATTAAATCCCTCAAATTACTCAACTACTACATTTGACCCAAAATTCAAAATTCGAAATTAAAATCCTTCCAAAAATAGAAAAATCCCTCAAATCTCTCACAATTAAACTAAATTGAGATTTAGTCAAACTTGCCAAATCTTCCTTATTCAAAATTAAACAAATGTGGAAAATTGTCCCAATCACCCTTATTCTCTGTGCAGTCTCCTATTGCAAGAAGATTCTCAATTGATTTAATAAAATCTGTTATCGAACATTGATAGTAAGAGTTATTTCTGACTCTTCATTTTTATCCCTCTTCAAACAAGAGTTTGGATCCTCTTCAAACAAGAGTTATCTACAATTCTTGTTGATATAAGCTAACAAGAGAAGGCATAGAAATTCTCTTAGAACAACTACATAAGAGCATACTGTTCTTAGCCATAAAGAGGAAGTAGCATGAATGGCTAACAAGAACAACCGACCTTTTTTTGTTTTGAGTGAAGTGGCGGGGAATTACCCCCATGTGACAGCTGACTCTATTTTTTTTTGAGTGCAAGGGTGAGAAACTAACCCTGTGTTTAACAGAAAGGACCCAAATACAAAGTACCCAAAGTACAAAGTAGGAAATGCCACAAACAAAAGGTCAAAGTTAAGTGTGGTGATTTAAAAAAAACGAAATACAAAAAATCCTTAATACAGTAAGCATATGAACTGATGGGCCGAACTGAATGTTTATCATTTTTAGACTAGATTTTTATAATTGGGATTCTACTTTGATCCTTAAAGCTAAAATCGAATTTTTATCAATAAAACATATTTACAACCATTACTTATTTGTGATGTTTTAACACAAATTTCCATTTTAACGAATATTATAATCTTTCTCATGTTTTACCTCAAGAGAAATAATACCAGTTTATTTAAAAAAAAAATAAGCAAGATAAAAGCTATATTTTCTTCACTATCGATTTACGTCATAGAGGTTTGGAAAGAAAATTTGTTTGAGATCAAGCTTTACTAAATCACAGTTTATTTTTAGGATTTCAAGTGATTTACCTCAAATTTTCTCGGCACGACACGAGTAGGAGGGGGATTGGGTGTCGGGGACAAACAACAGATGTTGGATTTTAATGAACTCATTAGAATCCAAACATATTATTTTATCTCAATATATGTACCACTTGTGACTTATGATGAACAGCTTTGAGCTGCTTCAAACAATTCTAGCTCAATCAGTATACATTGGTAGGCACATGGGGCCTGCTTGAAGTGTTTGGTACATTATCTTCCATCAATGTAGTGTTATTTTGATTAGAGCTATATTCTTCACCATCTATTTACATCGTAGAGGTTTCAAAAGAGTAGGAGATCAAGCTTTACTGAATAAATTTATTTTAAAGATTTTCATGTGCTTTGCCCATTTCTCGTTGTAACATGGGCTGGAGGGGGACTGGTGTTGGGTACAAGCAACAGAATTTGAACTTCAATGAATAAATTATAATTTAAACATATTATAGTTTCTCAATATAAGTACCAGTAGTGACTTATAATAACAGCTTTAAGCTGCTTCAAGCAATTCTGGCTCAACGAATAGAATTTGGGTGGGCACATCGGACCTGCTTGAAGTGTTTGGTACATTATCTTCAAGTAATCTAGTATCTGTTTTTTTTTCTATATTAAGGTTTCTGTTTTCTTTCTCCTCATTTTTTAGTTTGGTAAAGACTTAGGGCTGAGCTTTTCTAGGTACAAATTACTTCTTTGTGGGGAAAGTTTCAGTATGAATATTTTTATTAATAAAGCAATTCACTTCTGAAATCAAATTCCTTAGTTTCAAAATATCCCCTTCATGGTTTATATAATTAATCAATTAACCAAGCTCTTGTCTTGCCTTCAGTGACCAATAAATGAAGGCTCTTTGACTCTCATAGTTTGAAGCAAGGGTACTTGTTGGACACTTCTGCAAAGTTTCCAAACATTGTTGGTACCGGAGCTGTCTTTAGGGAAGTTGTATAATCTGGCTTGAGTATATAACCTGTAGAGATACGTAGCTTTATAATTGGACAAAAGGTAAATGCATATAGAAAGCTATTTATATGCTATATCTGCTGTCCTAAAGTGAGCAGATGACGAACAATCTCCTCTACCAAAGAAAGAGTGAGGAGGCTACATTCATCTGGACATTTTAACTGGTTTCTATTATCAATGGGGCTATTAACTGATGAAATCATTTTCCTTTGTACTCTCAAATTGTTTCTAAGAAAGGTTTGCACTTAATTTGAAGGGCAAGTCGTCGACATTGCTAACAACCAAGCTAAAGTTTATTGAGTCTCTAGTTTTGAAGCAGGGGTACTTGGAGGTCATTCCTCATTCTCTTCGAAGTCTTAATAGAAGATTTTTGGGAAGTCATGCACCCCTTGCTTGAGAATTACTTTCAAATATACAAGTGTATGTGCGGACACTAAGAAAGGAGCATATACGTAGCTATGTATATTGCTATATCCTAGTATCCCAAAGTGAGCAGATGATGAACAACCTCCTCCGCCAAAGAAAGAGTGAGGAGGCTACATGTATCTGTACATCGTAACTGATTCACATGCCTAGTTCTGATTATAGCTATTTAACCTATTACGCTTTCTTGATTTATTAATGATATAAATCATACATCTTACCTATTGACACACCTTTTTGAGCATCACTACTTGTCCACACAAATCATTTAGGTGTCTAGTTTACCTTTTCTGCTGTTCTATGCAAAAGTGGTTCGACCATGCCTTATATCTGTAGAAATCTAACTCTTGGCCACCCAGGGAATGTTCATAGAATGTGCGACTGAATAGACGATGGATACTCTCCTTCACCTTCACTCAAAAAAACTACGGTGTTATGCTGTACTACTTACCTTGAACGACCTAATTAATGCTTATCTGATGATAAGAGAAATAATTTTATCAGGTTTAACGATTATTTTTTGTGACATGATTGTCCTCAATGATTACCAATAATAATTCATGTGTGGATCTAATTCTTTATTTAAGAATGCCATCCACCTTTCATGGGATCTGCTCTGACAAACTTGTAACTATATTCTGTTAATTCTGTTTTGATGGTTATGATTTGTGGCTATGTAATTGATGCCATGTTTGACATGTGAAAAAACATGACGGGATGTGACAATTCTCCAGAATCCAGACATGAGTTCAAACTATACAAATAAGAAAGTTCAGAAGTGTGTTTATTAGTGGATGTGTATCCCAAGGAAATACCTCAGATTTATGGGTTTACTTTGAAGAGTCTTAAAGAATAAAACACAGAAAAGCATTTTATGGTTTTACTTTTTTCATAAGTAAAATTGCTTTATAGTACTGCTTGATCTTATTATACTTGTAGTGGAGAAATATTGTGAGCTATGCTTTATGGTCCTAATTTTGGTCAATTAAGAAACATGGTCTTCAAAAATTGAGTATAAATGAATTGCTACATGAATGAGTCACAACACAATAAAAGAGAGCATAAAAACTGAGGCACTGATAAACTAGTAGTACCTAGTACCTAGTAGAGGATGAGGGAAGGAAAATAGTTCGATCGTTTGCATATGTGCAACGGGGATTGAAGTGGCAGTTAAGAGGAGTGATAAACCTAATAATGGAGGAGTGATAAACGGGACGAGCATGCAATAGAGCAGTAAAAGAAATGATATGGTTGCGCTTATTTAACTGAGGAGACGGCCCTTAGCAGAGTGAGAGGAAATCATGTTGTAGACCCCAACTATCAAGGAAAAAAATCTTAGCTGTTGACATATTGTTACCTGGCATATGGAATTCACTGCATGCATAGTACAGAAGTAAATATAGGTAAGTAGCCAAACCAGTGTACACATGATTGGACATGCCAACTTACAGAAGGGAGAAGACACCTGCATATCATACTGCTATGTTATGCATATTCCATGTTTATATGTCGCGTTTTCTTTAGGTGTCCACCCATGACTGCTACAGATTTTTCAAGTGGTACGACTCATAGGATAATCTAGTGAGCTGTCGTCATCAATCTGACTTCAAGACTAGGCATGCGTTTGAAGGGGAAATACAGACGGTTCATAAATCTGCTATTTCATGGATGACTTTATCCTATCATTCAATGTGGTTGATAATTTTTAAGTAACCTTCCTTTTGTAGGATTTTTTTTCCAAATCTGCTTGCTACCAACACTTCTGTTGTATTCATTTGTTAAAATCCTTGTTAAATAAATGGAGGTTGTCTTAAATTGCCATCAAGTACTCTCTCTTATAGTCACATCAAGTCTATTTCACTCATTAACTTGTTGTATACGTGTAACAGTTGAATTTTATGGAAAGGACAAGAGCAAACATGATGTTTTACCCATCAAAACTGATAAAGACACAATAAGGGAGGGATACAGGTGCGATGCATTTGAATTATTTATTTTTTAAATTTATTTACAGGTGCGATGCATTTGAATTATTTAATTTTTAAATTTATTTATCTCATATTTTGTGGTTATAAGTTAACAGACGTTGGATGAATGAGCATAAAGATGTTTTATGAGCATCTGATGTGTACCTATCTCAATTTGCTTGTACCCTAAGATGTTTCTGGTTTTCCTTAACTTTTTGCTTTATTGTTTCAGGGAGGTTTGTTTTTCATCGCGTTCAGCATTTGCTATCCCTTGTCTATATTGTCATTCATGTTAAATTCATTTCTCTCTATTAGTTAGCAACTCCTTTCAAATGTGATACTGTAGCTTGTGCATAGTCATAGCATTTCCTTAGCATGTGCCTGGGAAAAAATGGTTTGGATGTCAACATGCTTACATGTACAAAGAGGTAGACATATCTGAAGCCTTTTGTTTTCTTTGATGGATAATTGGTAAAAAAAGTTACACCAGTACCTTCTTTTATTTTTATACTTGCAATTGCAAACAGGATGAAGTTCTAGTTGTTTGCGTAATTTTACTCACTCAGGTTTTAAATGGCACTCAGCTGATATAGCTTAAAGTCATCACCTAATAGCTCCAAAATATTCTTTAGCTGCTCTGTTTATTTTTTGCCATCTACTTGCTAATGCTTTGCAAGATCTCTTTGCTATAAGGATTCATTTTATGATTATTATAGGCTTGTAATAGGAAACCCTAATTCCCATGTAAATTTTTTATATATTATTTTTTAATTTTTGCGCTCAGGTAAGTGTTGATGCAATTTATACCTTTTATAACAACAATACAGGCAGTTAGGTAGGTCAAGTCAGTGTATCCATAAGCATCTGATGTATTCATCATGTAATCACCCTACTTTATACACAAATAGTAGTGGATGTCATAGCATGTTTTATGCTAAAGTGTTTCCTGTTTTCCTTTCACGCTCGTCGTGTTATTTAACAAACTAATTACTGTGCTAAACAAATTGGCAGTCTAGTATTATATATCAATAGAGATAATACATTACTATAGGGATATGTTTGGCTTTTAAATCAAGCCGGAATTTTAGTTTCTTTATTGAAGTCATATGTTTATCATTTATCTATTTATGTAAAAGAGGACCTTCCCTTTAACGGAGTTGGGTGGAGAAAATGCATTTACATAGCTGACCACAAACCTATAGGATAGGTTTTTTTTCCTTGCTATGTTAACAGAGTTTGAATTTGTATCTGTTTAATCGCGCTATTGATTGTATCTGTTTAATCGCGCTATTGACTGCTTTGGATTTTTGCAGTCTGACATGGTTTATCTTTATCAGTGGCAGATCCACCTTGACCAAAGTGGGTTCACGTGACCCCACTTTGGTCGGTGAGGATCAAGAACCACTTCAATTACCACATAAAACCCAGCAGTCCAAGATGCTCACCTTGCTAACAAAATAGGTGACCCCACTTATAAACCAATGACATCCCATCCAAGTTTCCCACTTTTCACTCGATCCAACCTAACTAAAAAATGGAAAATTTCTCTTAAGTTTGAGGGTTTCTCAGATAACTTCCCTTAACTTTAAAATGTCACAGAACCCCTCAATTGACATTCTCAGAAAACCCACCTCAACTTTCAATGTTCTCTAAAAACCCCAATTTTCCACTGACAAAAATACCTTTCTACCCATGTGAAAATTGCGGTTAGCACCGTTAAGAATTTCTTTTCTTGGAAAGATGTCGAAAGTTGAAGGGGCTTTCTGAGAACCCCAAAACTTAGAGTACGGTTTGTGATAGTTTGGAAATTTTTTTGTTTTTTTTTGTGTTTTTTTTTTTTTTTGGGGGGGG